CACAATGGACCCTGCAAAAATCCAGAAGATCATCTACATCTACTTTGAAAACCTAAATTCTAATAAGATGGAAAATACAGAAGAAATGGCAGATTGCTACATATACACGAATTACCAAAGCTGAATCAAGAAGATATAAAAATCCTAAATAAACCAATATCAATCAATGAAACCAAAGACATAATTAAAAACCTACCAACAAAGAAAAGCCCAGGCCCTGAGGGATTTACTGCTAAATTCTGTGAGAAATTTAGAGAAGACCTAACACCACTACTTCTTCAACTCTTTAATGAAATTGAAAGGGAAGCTGTACTCCCAACTTCATTCCTGGAAAGAAGCATTACCCTGATATCAAAACTGGAGAAGGACCCAACTAAGAAAGAGAACTACAGATCAATCTCCCTAATGAACACAGATGCAAAAATCCTCAATAAGATACTGAAATGCCACAAATTATCAAGAAGATTATACACCAAAAAAAAAACCCCAAAAAACAAAAAAACAAAGAAGATTATAAACCATGTCCAAGTAGGATTCACCACAGGGATACATGGATGATTCAACATACATAAATCAATATACACCACATTAACAGAGCCAGTGATGAAAGTCATATGATCATCTCAATAGATGCAGAAAAACTGTTTGACAAAGTCCAGCACCTAGTCATGATTAAAACCCTACAGAAAATTGGATACATGGTCTTTTTCTCAATTTGATAAAAACCATCTATGACAAACCCACAGCCAACATCATACTCAATGGACAAAAACTGAAAGCTTCCATTCTAAAAATCAGGAACAAGACAAGGATGTCCACTGTCTCCACTCTTATTCAACATAGTCCTGGAAACTTTAGCCAGAGCAATTAGATAAGAAATAAAAGTAATAATGATAGGAAAGGAAAAAGCTAAATTATCACTATTTGCAGATGACATGATACTCTACATAGAAGACCTCAAAAACTCCACTAAAAACTGCTAGATTTAATAAGCAAATTCAGTACCATAGCTGGATACAAAGTCAACACTCAAAAATCAATAGCCTTCCTGTACAGAAATAACAAACTCACTGAGAGAGAAATTAGAGAAACAACACCTTTCACAATAGCATGCAAAAAAAAAAAAAAAAAATGAAATACCAGCAATCTAATGAAGGATGTAAAAGACCTCTACATTGAAAACTACAGTACTCTGAAAAAGGAGATTGAAAATTTTATCAGAAAATGGAAAGAAATCCCTTGCTCTTGGGTAGGAAGAACAAATACAGTGAAAATGGCCATACTTCAAAACTGTTATACAGATTTAATGCAATTCCAATCAAAATTCCAATAGCATATCTCACAGAATTAGAGAAAACTTTCCTAAAATTTATTTGGAACCAGAAGAGATCTAGAATAGCAAAGGCAATTCTGGACAACACAGGAAAAGCAGAGGGCACCATAAACCTTGACTTGAAATTATACTATAGCTTTACTGTGACAAAAATAGCACGGTACTGGCAAAAAACCAAAACAAAACAAAAAAACAGACCCAAAGATCAATGGCACAGATTAGAAGGTGCAGAAACAACTCCAGACATACTTAGCCACCTTATCTTTGTTTTTTTTGTTTTTTGTTTTTTGGGGGGCTTTTTGTTTGTTTGTTTTTAGTTTTTTTTTTTTTTGGCCACCTTATCTTTGACAAAGATGCCAAACACATTCATTGAGTGAAAGATAGCCTCTTTAATAAATAGTGCTGGAAAAACTGGCTCTGCACATGCCACAGATTAAAACTGGACCCATATCTTTCACCATGGACTAAACTAAATTCTAAATGAACCAAAGATCTAAATATAAAGGCCAGGGATTTAGCTCAGTGACACAGCATCTGCCTGGCAAGTGTGAGTCCCTGAATTCAATTCCCAGTACCCCCTCAAAAAAGATCTAAATATTAAAACAGAAACATTAAATCTGCTGCAAGATAGAATAGATAAAACTCCTGAAGACACTGGTGTAGTCAAAGATTTTATTTTTTTTAAAGACTTTATTAATAAAACCCTGATCACACAGGAACTATCACAAAGAATCAACAACTAGGATCTTATCTTATTAAAAAGCTTTTGCACAGCAAGAGAAACCACCAACTGAGTGAAGAGACAACCCACAATATGGGAAAAAACGTTTGCCAATTGTTCCTCAGACAAAGAATTAGTATAGAAAATACATAAAGAACTAAGAAAAAAAAAAAAAAAAAACAAACCCCCCAAATTTAAAGACCCAATCCAAAAATGGGCTTCTGAGATAAACACATACTTCTCAGATGAAAAAGTACAAACAGCAAATAATCTTCAACATCACTGGTCATTCAAGAGATGCAGATTAAAACCACACTGAGATTCCACCTTACCCCAGTAAGAATGGCTAGCATTAAGAAATCAACCAATAACAAATGCTGGCGAGGCTTTGGGGAAAAAGGAGCCCCCTTCCATTGTTGCTGGGAGTGTAGACCACTATGGAAATCAGTGTGGAGATTCCTCAAAATCTAGGATTGGAGGTCTCATTTGACCCAGCTATTCTCCTGCTGGATATCTTCCCAGAAGAATTAAAAATATACACAGTGATATACGTGGCAATGTCTCTCAGTACATATTTTACAGCTTTTTTTGGGGGGGGTACCTAGAATTGAACTCAGGACCTTGCACCTGCCAGGCAGGCCCTTATGTCACTGAGCTATATCCCTGGCAGATAACTTCTTTTTTTTTGTACCAAGAATCGAACTCAGGATCTTGTGCTTGCTAGGCAGACGCTTGTGCCACTGAGCTACATCCCCGACCCTACAGCTTTCTCTAAAATCAGTGTTCTATCTTTCTGTGATCATGTTTATAGCAGCACAATTTGTAATACCTAGATCTTGGAAACAACCCAAATGCCCATCAACCAAGGAATAGATAGAAAAGATATAGTCTTTTTATATAATGAAGCGCTACTCAACCATAAAGAAGGATAAACTAGAGACTTTTATAGGCAAATGGAGACTTTATAGGTAAATACTTTTATAGGTAAACTCGAGACCATACTCATAAGTGAATAAACCAAAAGCACATGTACAAACATCATATTGTCTCCCTAGTATAAGAAGCTGAAAGAGTAAATAAGATAAAAAATGTACCACAGATATTGTAAAATGGGAGGAAACTGTTCAAAAGGAAAGAGAAACTGGGATGGGCAAAGGAGAAAAGAGGGAAGGGAAAAACAAACAAACAAACAAATATATATATATGTATACATATAAGACAGTTAGTATAGTTATACTACTAATTTCTCTTTGTTCCTTGAAAAGAAAGTTTTGTGCTAACATTGTTTGGACAATTAAATGCCTATATCTTTTACTCTGATTAACTAAAGATAACAATACACAATGTATAACCCATTGTTATTCTCCTATTATATTAATTTAGATATTAAGACACAAGACATAATGCCAAAGAACACAGACTCTGACACCAAATATCTAGAGTAGGATTCTAAAACTGCAACTGTTAATTACTTAATCTCCCTGTGGATTACCTTCCTTATTTTTAAAATTTCATTTATTTCATTTATTTTTAAATTTTTAGGTTTTATGGGGCTGGGGATTTAGCTCAGCGGCAAAAAGCGCCTGCCTGGCAAGCGCAAGGTCGTGAGTTCAGTTCCTGGTACCGGAGAAAAACCAAAAAAAAAAACAAAAAACAAAAAAAATAAATTTTTAGGTTTTAGGAGGTTTTATTGTTATTGTTTTGTTTTGTTATGTTTTGAGATAGGTAATTCAGGATGGCCTTGAACTCAAACTCATGTAATCCTCCCGGTTCAGCCTCCTTAGTGCTGGGATTACAGGGGTGTACGACCACATTCTGCTTCATGCACTGCCTTTGACTATCATCTCTTTGAGTGTTTTATAGAACTACAGATTATTCTAACACCCCAGAAACTAGGCATGTCTCTCAATACATATTTTACAGCTTTCTCTAAAAATCAGTGTTCTACCTGTCTGTGATCACATCTCGTTTCTTTTAATTGGAAGATGAATAGAATCACAAAATCCTTCAAGGGGCCCTCAACCCTGCAGACCTTTCACTACCCCTTTATGACTTATGACTACCCCTTGTCAACTATACCCTTTTACGTTCTACCATATGGCAGGGGTGGTTTTGGTGGTAGGAAAAAATGAGAAGCAAAGTTCAAAAGCTGTAAAGGAGAAGATCTGAGCCCCACTTAGCAACAGAAGTGGTCCTAGGGCTAATTCCTAGTCGGCTCCAAAATTTTTTTAAACTTCAAGCTTTTTCCATGAAAGCTCCATGCCAGAGATTTGGTACAGATGAAAGCAAACAATGATGCATCCCCTACCATCACATTTACTCCAGTACTTCTAAATGTCCTTGCCTTATTCTACTCCAGCAAACACCCCCCCACCCCTGCACCGCAAACATCCCCTGGGTCTGCAACAATCCCTGGCCAGCATATGGAGACGGGCAAAATGACTTTGTGTGAACTGGCCATCTACTTGATCATCCCTCAGAGCTCCAAGCACAGCTCTTGGCTATATAGGTCCTGGCAATTGATCCACCCATCAAATCAGGTTGGGAGGGTCATTCATGAGAGTTCATCTCACACAGATACCTGGGGTGTTATCCATACTGCTTCAAGTGGAGCTGTTCTCACTGCCCAGAATTCCTGAGCACTCAAAAGCAGGTTCCAAGGTGGAGCTCCACGGCTGATTGCAGATCCAAGAATAGGAGAAAAAATGTGCTAACCATTCTCATAAAGGAAAAAAGGAGGTACTCACCTCAGATCTGACTTCCAGGAGGTCCCAAATTGACTTATTCTCTGGATTCTCTTTGGGGAAAAGAGCAGAGTCCTGAGCCAAAAGAGCTGGGGATGGAGAAATAAATTAAAGGGGCTATTCTGCCACAGCCACCGTCCAGGTAAAGCCCACCCAGCACAGGCACAGACAGGAATTAGAAAAGGCAGGAACTACTCAGGCGTGTCTAGGAAGGAGTGGGCCCCAGTATCCGCCAGAGTCAAGTACAGCATCAGGGATTAGTTCTGCCTCTTGGTGTCCCAGATATTTTAAGAGGAAACACTGCCATTCCTTTCCCCCCATCTGCCTATCTGACAGTGGGAACAAATGGGTGTGTACGACGATGAAAAAGCAGGCCAGATTCGCTGGTGCTTCTGGGAAACTAGCCTGACCTCTCAGAGTGTCAGTCTCCTCAACTGCAAATCCACAAACCCAGCGACTGAAAGAGTGAAGCTTCTACCTGTCTCCTTGGGCTTCAGGGCCGGGGTCTCCATGGCGCCCCTCGGCAGCGCTCCCTGGAGTGGGCAGCTCTGCAGCCTCCTGGACCGCAGGTCAGGCCCCTAGGTGCGAGTTCTGCTTCTGGGGCTCGGGGACAGCGGCCTGCAGGGCAGCCCCGCGAGGTCGTACACGCAACACCCCCACATGGAGCCCCCTCCCCGCGCTCCGGCTGAGGCAGGCTCAGCCAACACACCACTCGCCTCACTGGGACCGTGACCCAGCACACCCGCCCGCGGACACACCCACATCGGGTCGCACCGCGTCCCCTTCACACACGCGCCGCGTCACCCCGTCACACACTCCTGCAGTGCCCCGGCGATCCACGCGCGGGGACTAGGCCCAGGTCCCGGGCAGATGAAGAGCCCAGGAGAGCCCAAATAACAGTCGGACCGATAGGCGAGAGAGCACCATGAATCTTCTACAAAAGGACAGCATCGCCACAAAGAGCAGCCCGGCCACCGCCACGGGAAAGTGCGCCTGCGCGGAACGAACGCGAACTACCATTCCCGACAGCCTTTGCTTCGCCTAGGCCTAGAGCTTCCTTTCCCGAGGGGGCCAGGCAGGGGCAGGACAGACGAAGGTGTAGCACAGTCTTCTGGGAAATGTAGTTCAGGGCCGGCGGAGCGCTCTGGACCCTCTTGGCTCATTGGTGGGGAAGAAGTTCTGCATCTCTATGCAGCAGCTGTGTGTGTGTGTGTGTGTGTGTGTGTGTGTGTGTGTGTTTATACGTGTATGTGTGTTTGCAATTCCTAGGATATCTGGAGAGTGGTGCAGTTGGAAATTTCCTGTCAGTTCGTTTGCGTCTTCAGGTTAGTCCGGTGGGCCCCACATCTTTCTCAAGGAAAGGCTCAGACCCCAGGCCCTAGGAATACTAGCAGAAGTAGCTCATCCTTTCATCCCTTGAGGGGATTCCCAGGGGCTCCCTCCCCGCTCCCCCCGGAGCCAAACACCTGAGGGCCGCGGGAGCGGCTCCCAAAGCTGACAGAACTCCCTACCCGTTCTTAGGCAAGTGGCTCTGACCATGGTCCACCCTCAGGTTCAGGAGACGTCCAGGTAGCGGTCCAGTCTTGGCCCAGTGACCAAACACTGCCACCGCCCCTTTGGTTTTGAGACAGTGTCTCGCTTTGTAGTTCAGGCTGCCTGTGAACCAACTATGTGGCCTAGGCAGTCCTTGAATTCATGGCAATCCTCTTGCCTCAACCTCCCAACTGCTGGGATTATAGGCATGTGCCATTGTTACAGGAAACAGACCAAACACGATAAGAAATGAGAGGGTTTAAGGTTTAGGAGGCAGTTTTTTTACACTGGTGGGCCTGAATGGGATCTCTCTTCCAAAGAGTCAGAGCCCCACCCGGTGGGATTTTGGGTTTATAGAGAGGGCAAGTGGGGAGGCACAAAGGCAGATTTGGCACATTTGGTTGGCGGGCTGGGTGATATCATGGGTGGCTAAGGGGGTTTAAACATCTCAAATTACATTGCAAGGCCATCAGTTACACAAAACCAGTAAAGAGAGGGGTTTATACAAAGGAAGGAGTGTTCTGTTATCGGGTCTACAGGATAGGTCCACTTGGTCTTGGTAGGCATTCTGGGCAGGCTTTTATTTAAAATTTTTAATTTCCCCCTTCACCTCCACACCAGGTTCATCACCCCCCATTTTGATTCTAGGTTCAGCTTTGATCATAACTTCTATCCAGCCACCACCATACTTGTGCAGGGTCTCCCCTGCAGTGACTAGCATGGCTCCAGTAATTTTTGTCCTCTGGTTTCATATCTCATGTGCTATTTCCTATACTGCAGAGGACTGACCTACGTAACAAAAATAATATTGTATCTGTTATGGCTGTGTCTAGATGTCCCCCCAAAGCCTCATGCAGTCATAGATGAGGCTTTTTCAGAGGTGGCTGGATCTAGAGTATGTGATGCTGGGATTGATTAATGGTGCAGTGCTAAGCTCAAGGGCCCTAGGGTTAAGGGTGTGAATGCTACCTGCCCCACATAGCCCAGATAAGATACAGTGGACCCTTGATTTACAACCAGCCTCACATATGAATGACTTGGGTTACAATCAGAACTTTAGGTTTAACTTATGACCAGAGTCTTGAGTTACATGGAATGCCAGCTGCTGTATGATTGTAAAAAGGTTTGTGATGCCAGGAAAGCATATGCAAGCATACATAAATGTCAGTCTGAGCCCAGATATGTGTGTTTGTGGATGTGATTTTGGTCAGTGTTTTATATAATTGCTGTGATTACTGCTATCAAAATGGCCCCCAAAAAGCTAGAAAAGAAGCTAAGGAAGGAAGGAAGGGAAAAGAAAGCAATCACAATTGAAAAGAAGGAAATTGAAAAGAAGGAAAAGGAGAAACATGAGCATGACATTTGTGTGACTGATCTTACTGATATATACAGGATGTCAAAATCCACCATCTTGACAATCTTACAGAGACAAGATTTGGATAAGGAAGCTAGTGTTGCTACAAGTGTTATTCAAATTAGTAAGTCACAATCAACATTGTTAGATGAAATAGAAAGGCTATTAGTAATGTGGATAAATGCCTTGGCCCACAAGCTCTCGAACTTCCTGGAGTGAGGACTGAGAAGGGCAGTGAGAAGGTGAAGAAATGAAGACAAGATACAGAAAGCTGGGATCAGATGGAGCCCTCTTTCCAGACAGGAGGAAAAGGAACTGCTCAATTGCCACAGCACTTTTATTTATAAATTTGGCAGGTTGATGTCACGTGATACCCCTCTGCCTAGCAACCTATTGCTTGGGTTTCCTTGGGCACCTGGTGTTCACTGGACTAGAGTAGCTTGTTCACATGGCTCGCCTCGGTTGCTCTCAATTCTTGGACTGGCCTTGCTCCAGCTCCACATTTGTGATCATGCTGTAGCTTTAACCGCTCTCCACAGATAAATGCAAGGCAGAAGGCAGGTTATAGCCTATCTGAGTCTATAATTTGTGAAAAAGCTAAGGCTATAAATGCAGATTTTGTAAAGGATAATCTATCAGCGAGTGATAATGATGAAACATTTTGTGCCAGTAAGGAGTGGTTTCACAATTTTAAAGTAAGAACTGGGGTTCACAGCATAACTAGGCATGGTGAAGCAGCCAGTGCTGATAAAAGGGCTGCTGAAAATTACATACACCACTTTGAAATGATGATATAGAGAAATGGCTCTTCAACTGTAATGAACATCAGTTTTTGTTTTTTTTGTTTTTTTTTTGGTTTTTCTCCGGTACCGGGAACCGAACTCATGACCTTGTGCTTGACAGGCAGGCGCTTTTGCCGCTGAGCTAAATTCCCAGCCCCGAACATCAGTTTTTAACTGTAATGAAACTGGCCCTCTCTGGAAGAAAATGCCTAGGAGAACATACATTACTCAGGAAGAGAAATAAAATGCTAGGCCACAAGCCTGTGAAGGATAAGCTAACCTTATTGCTATGTGCTAATGTGACTGGTGACCTCAAGATAAAGTCTTTTTTGGTTTATCCCTCTGAGACCCATAAAATGTTCAGAAAACATGAAGTCATAAAGAGTAGGCTGTGGGTCATGTGGAGATCTAACACAAAATTCTGGGTATCAAGAGTACTTTTTCTTTTGTTTTCTTTTGTTTGGACAGGGTCTCACTATGCAGTTCAGGCTGGCCTTGAGCTCACTTTGCAGCCCAGGTTGGTCTCAAACTTGCAACAATCCTGAGTACTTTCTTTTGAATAGATTAGGGAGGCTTTCTGTCCTACTGTTAAGAAATATCTAGAGCACAAAGGTTTACCACTCAAGGCTCTTCTTTTCATGGACAATGGTCCTGCTAATGTACGAGATTTGGAAGAATTGGCTGAAGAATTCCCATGGCTCTCAGTCGAGTTCCTCCCACCTGATACGACTCTGGTTCTGCAGCCTATGATCCAGCAGGTTATAGCTAACTTTAAGAAGCTATACAGCAAAGAGCTCTTCCTGAAGTACTTCCAGGTGGTCTCAGATACAGATTTAACACTTACAGAGTTCTAGAAGGAAAATTACAACATCCTTTCCTGTGTGTGGTTAATTGAGAAATCCTGGGCCAACGTTTCTCTAAGGATGCTGAGATCTGCCTGGGAGAAAGTGTGGCCTAAAATTATACAGGAGAGAGATTTTTAAAGGTTGTGTAGAGGAGCCTGAGCCTTCAGTTGACCCTGTGGTTGATGACATTGTGACTATGGCAGAATCCATAGGCTTGTAGGTAGACAGTGGTGATGTTGAGGAACTCGTGGAGGAACACTCGGAGGAATTATCCACAGGGGAACTTCACCAACTTCTGACTGAGCAACAGAGAATGGCAAGTGGAGCTTTCTAAGAGGAGGAGGAGTCTCAATGATCAGTGCAGCAAAGCCCTTCTGAAATAAAGGAAATCCTGAAAAATAGACAGAGCTACAAACGTTTGTAGAGAAAACCCACCCAGACAGAGAAAAAGTCAGTCGTGGCATTCACTTGCATAATGACAATGTCAAGTCATACTATAGAACAGTGTCAAAGAAAAGACAGAAACAGAAAACCTTAGACAAGTTTTTAGTTCTGAAACTAAATGGCTGAAACCTAGTGAATCAGAAGCAGGTCCCTGTGGGTTACAGACTCTCCCAAGGGGAGAAAGGATGCCAGAGAGCCAGATTCCTGATGTTCTTATGAAAGGGGACTTTCTTTCCAAACAATAACCACCTTCCATTTCATCCTACCTTCCTGCAAGCCAAAGATGTCAACTTGAATGGTGAGTACAGCATGAAATTGTTTTTTCTGTTATACGAGGCACATTTGTAACTTTTTTGAATACACTAGGAAAATTATTGGTGTTTCTGGTAAATTATGCACATTTTACAACCATTTTTTACTGTGAAAAGGTTAGTTAAGGGGTGCTTTGGGAGGTTCAGAATGCATTATGGGCATTTCCATTTTTTCTTATGGAAAAAATAGTTTTGACTTACAAACAACTTGAGTTATAATCAACCCTTGTGAACAAATTGAGTTCAGAAGTCAAGTCACTGTATACGGAATAGAAAGAGCTTTGGTCATCCCTTGTTGCTTTGCTACTTTCTGCCCACCATGAACTGTTTCTCCTCTGCAATGCCTGTTTGCCATGCCACTCTGCCTTGGAGCTAGCTGATTATGGACTGAAACCTTTACAAACTGTGAGCTAAATAAACCTTTCCTCCTTTAACTTTGGGTATCGGGTATTTTGTCTCAGCAATGAGAGAAAAGTAACTAAAACTGTATTGCCAGGCATGGTAATACTGTTACAAGGCCCCTTTCAATTACAAGGCCCCTTTTAAGAAGCAAGCTACCCAATAACAGGTCTAGTCAAAGGTAGAAGGCCTGGAGCTCACTGTAGAGTCCCATGTGAGTCCATGTCAGGAAGCTGGAAGGCAAGAGACTGACATCCAAGGCAATGGCAAAGACTGGAGTTCTTCTGAAGAAATAGGAGCAAGCCTTCCTTCCGTCTTCTTTCCCTTTT